TTAAAGAGACAGATGCGCCAATCGTTCACAGATCATATCCGCAATTTGAGCTCCAGAATAACAAATGTGTCCAGAATTAGCAGCGTTTGGATGTTAAAATGAAGATATATATTCATATAGAAATAGAGCAATATATTCCTAGTTTGGGGTATATTTTAAGGTGCTATACTATTTGTTGAATAATTTTGAAGACTATTCACTATATTCAAGACCTAAATCAACCCCAGAAAATGGCGCATCTGCCCCTTTAAATATGATACTTTATCTCTATTTTTAAAGCCTTGTTTATGCTCATCGTAATATGAATACGTATTTCAATACGTATTTCATACATGAAAACATCACAAAAGAATCAACCAAGCAAAATGTTATACGTACCTAATATTTGGAGTACGGTCTACCAGCCTACTTCCTTGTTTATATAAAACAGTAAATGTAGATCAAGTCTGTAATGAAACTCATTACCATGTCTATAATATCATGTCTATAATACCATGTCTATAATATCATGTCTATGATATCATGACTATAATATCATGACTATAATATCACGTCCATATTATCGTATCTATGATATCGTGTCTACAATATCATATCTATATTATCGTGTCTGTAATACTATGTCTATAATACCATGTCTATGATATCATGTCTATAAAACCATGTCTATAATATCATGTCTATAAAACCATGTCTATAATATCATGTCTATGATACCATGTCTATAATACCATGTCTAAAATACCATGTCTATAATACCATGTCTATAATATCATGACTATAATATCATGACTATAATATCACGTCCATATTATCGTATCTATGATATCGTGTCTATATTATCGTGTCTGTAATACCATGTCTATAATATCATGTCTATGATATCATGTCTATAAAACCATGTCTATAATATCATGTCTATAACATCGTGTTTATAATATCATGTCTATAATATCATATATCTAACATCATATATATAAAACCATGTCTATAAAACCATGTCTATAATATCATGTCTATAATACCATGTCTATAATACCATGTCTATAAAACCATGTCTATAATACCATGTCTATAATATCATATCTATAATACCATGTCTATAATACCATGTCTATAATACCATGTCTATAATACCATGTCTATAATATCGTATCTATAATATCATTGGTGTCTATAATACCATGTGTATAATATTATAGAAATATCGTATTTATAATATCATGTCTGTAATATTGTATGAATAATATCGTGTATATGATATGACGTTTATGTTTTAGTTATAACATATATAATATATAATGTTGTACCATTTGTTTTTATATGTAATTATGTAACTGTATATTTCTAGGGCAATTGTATATGACGCTATAAGGTATTAAAAGGTATGATATGATATTAAAAGGTATGATCTGATATTAAACGGTATGATATGATATCGAAAGGTATGATATGATATTTTTAGGTATGATAAGGCATGATATCTATAATATCAAGTCTATAATATCATGTCTTTAATATCATGTCTATAATATCATGTCTATAATACCATGTCTATAATACCATGTCTATGATATCATGACTATAATATCATGTCTATAATATCATGTCTATAATATCATGTCTATAATACCATGTCTATAATACCATGTCTATGATATCATGACTATAATACCATGTCTATAATATCATGTCTATAATATCATGTCTATAATACCATGTCTATAATATCATAAAACTCAATTTATTTCATTTTTATTTGAGAGTTTGTCTATTAAAATAAAGATAAGTTAGCATGTCAAAAACATGAAGATAAGTTAGCATGTGAAAAACACACCGAAATGTTAGCATGTCCAAAATCAATACATGTACATCAGTTTTTCTATATAAAGGCTATATTTCCAATTTTATATCTTTTTCTAAATTTCAGACAATCAATGATTTACATAAATGAATAAACCAAGTACCTACGATCTGAACCGCGAAAAAAGTATGAGTACTTTCCATGAACTGAAAGCTACTGAGCTGATTGTGACGTCGGGGACATGAGTCATATCTATACACATCACGGAAGGTGTATATAAAGCATACAGACATATTAGCATGTCCAAAATCATTGGAGGTTTTCTACATCATGGTTTTCGAGTACACATTAATTGCCACCTTTATCTTGAAAAAAAAATTAAATCGTAAAGGTAATATACAAACTAAATTGTAAAGCAAATAATACAATTATTATAGGTGTCATCCACTTGCTTTGAACCACCCGAATTAAAAGCCAGTGGCTTATGCCCCTTGGCTGTAATACGATTGTGGTCTGAAATCCTAATGTTATAACCGATGTGGTTATAGGGGTCATTTATGATAACTTCCTGTCAACTTGTGCTCTTGATACTAAAAAAAGACAATATGATCATGTAACACCTGTTATGTATTATTATTATTATTATATGATCGTAATTGTCGCAATTGTAAACTGGAGTTGCATCCCTTGAGGACAACTTGTTCTCAACAGTATGAGGATGTATCATTCTCTGACGTTTGGTCCACAATTGCTAACTCGAAATATAATGGGCGAGATGTCTTTGATATTTGGTTTGAATTCTGTGTCGCGTCTTTCATATATTCAAAATCCGACTTCATTGAGGGACAATCAGCCGTATGCGTCGCCGGATGTTGTCTGCATTTGTACTTTGATTTATTCACTTCAGCATAATCAATGTAATTGTAGTGTGAGTTGTCACTGTCGTGTCTCTTCCGGTTTGCCATTGCCTCATTGGTGGTTGTCTCTTTCGGTCTTTGCCGATTTCTGAAAAAAAAAATAAACAAACTTTTCATTAAGCAGAGTTTCCTCAAATCTTCAAAACCCAAGACTAGCCAATGAAATTGCGAATTTTATTTTCAGTTCGCACCAAAATATACAGTTTCATGCACTAATCTGTTAGTAAACGTTATTAAAAGTTGATGTGGTTGACAACCTGTTGATCGAGTCTCGAATTCCGAGTCTCGAGTCGTTATGGAGATCTCATGTGAGTAATGTGGTAGTAAGGTTGCATATTCTGACCCAATGAGTCATCTTTGGTGCATCTTTGTATTGTTGTTATTTGGACAAGTGAATCACGGTGCCATCTATTAATTGATACGTTGCCTATTTTGTGATAAAACATTGTGCGTCTTTGATGAATCTTAGTTTTGTAGTTTGTGATTGAAATTGAAATGGATGTGAGACCTACCTGATGTAACAGTAGACTCCAATACAGACAATATTAATGACAATCACAGCAGCTAAAATACCACCAAATATGATGTAGGGGTTGGTTTCATCTTCATCTTTATCAACCATCTTGGGATTTTCAGTAGTACTCGGTGTGTTAGGTGTCTCTAAAATCACAATATTGATTTGATTATAAGACAGGTGTCTGTATACCATTATTAACTTATTATAGTGCTTAGAGAAAATTAACAGAATACATTTTCATATCTGACACCATCAAGTTACTGGGTTTGTCAAATTCAATATTTTGTTTAAAATTGAGATTCGTAAATTTTACAAGCTTGCTTCATATTAAGTTTTCGAGCAAAAAATTATGAAAATTCTTAAGGTGAAGTAGGTTCAAAATCAGATTACCTGTTACATCTTTGTGGCTGCCATGGCAATGTAGGCCTACATTTATGTTCGACCCGCTGGCTGAAAAACATACAAATCTTGTTAAAATAGATCTATATTTTAATTAAGGGGTTCTCAATAGAATATTTTGTATATAACTGGTCACTTCAATTTGTAGTTTGAAGACCGACCTTGACATTAAAAAACCTAGGTTGGTTTGATTCTTCCTGACAGCTTACAAAATAAAAATCTACTAATCGAAACAATGTTGTGTGACTGAAGTCAATTAGACACAAATAATTTAATTGGGTTTCAACTTTATAACGAAATTGAGTGTCCCTGAAAGAGTACTTAAGTACTGTGACTAAATAACAGTGAAACGGACTGAATTGTGTCATATCGTATAGATAATGCATTAAATCCTTACCAAGTTTTAGATATATAACTTCATTTTTTTCCAATTTCAGATCCTTTATTTCTAAACTAAACTCTGTACCGATACTTCCAATATCTTTATAAAACATCGTCATCCCGGAGTCTGTACAGCCCAATCCATATGTTCGCTCCCCTAGCGAGTACATCTTCACTTTTTTACAAGATCTGGGACCAAGATGTATATAGAAAACCTCCAGGAACAACGCTGCCGCTTTGGCAGCACAACTGTAAGTAATCTCCTTTCCAATGTAATCATTGGCAGCGATGTAAATTATTGAAAGAATTTTAGATGATGTCTCTGACAAAGTGTATTTCGTTGGTGCTAATAAGAAAAAAAGACAAAATTGTTACAAATACAAGTACAACGTATAAAAGAAAATATTTTTGAAATATTTTGACATTATTTTTAAGTTTCTATAGGTCGGAGGGACTGGCATTAATAATGCGTATAGTTGTTTGGACAGAACCAAAACCCATACCTCGTGTGCTGTAGGATCTGCACGTTT